AAATTACTGAGTGGTTTCTCCTATCAGACCCTGACTGATACAAGTCAACATAAGTAAATCACTTAAATATTACCTGCGATGGCCAGGCCTTGTCCTGTTAGATGTCTGTTATTATCTAGGCCTGGGTTTGCTGAGATGTCAAATTGGGAAGAGATCTGTTTAAATACATAAGAGTGTTTTGTTGTCTGAATGAGCTCGTGGTAATTAGGATGCAGTGTGGACATCCCTGGGTTTGAATCCTGGCTCTGCCATACAATATTTGGTCTTGACAATCTAACCATGCCTATAGTTAGATCATAACTACACAAAACAATGTTTGTAAAGCATCTCAACTAAACAAACACTAGCCATTTTTACTGCAAAGAAAACACCAAGGGTTATAATTCGTTATTGTAGTATGACATTGCTAGATGAGCTAAGGTTATTTAAACCAGTGGTCCCTCAACCTGGCCACACACCAGAACCATATGGGGTTTAGACTCCACTCCAGCCACGTGAAATAGAATCTCTAAGAAGTAGGGCCAGAGAACCTCATTTTAATGGAGCTCTGGGGGGAAACGTTGAGAGAACTAAGAGCTTCTTCTTCCCTTCGGTTGGTGCTGAAGTTCATGCTGGCTTGTCGGCAAGTGTCTTCAGGGAACGAGTTGAAGGAAGGATGGTCAAGTTTGGCCCTGGCACAGCCAGTGGGGTTCAGGAGGGCCAGGGTCTGAGGTTTCAGAGTCAGCAACAGGGGGAGATCAGAACGTGCAAAGGTTAATTAAACAAATAAGTAAATATAGTGAAGAAAATCAGGGCCATGCTGCTTACTACTAGGGAAAGGAGTGCTAATTATGGAAGAGAGAGGCTACAACAGAACCCAGAGTGTGGGGCTGGACTCAGACATATCGGTGTGATGTGGTTTTAAACAATTTATAGGCAACATATACATATACGTATGTATGTATGCATGTGTGCACACACAGACACGTTTGCTGAGATGGTCTATAAAAAACGATAAGCGGGAGCAGGGAGCACACCTAATACCAGATCTTGGTTTCTAACTACCATGCTCCACTAAGGAGCCGGGCTCCAGGGGGCAACTCCAGGGCCAGAGCATCTCATTGCGCCAGGAAGTAGAATGATGGGGACATGTGGAAGGACATTAGAACTAGGAGCAGCTCCCACAGACCAACTCTGGGACAATGAGGGCAACAAAATAATGACAGTAACATAGCTTACTGAGTAAAATAGGGATCCTTGAATCCATATGACATAAATAAATGAACAAAGAAGTAAACAGAGGAGAGGGAGGAGCATCTAATGTAGAATGCAAACTAATAATGTAGAAGAATGATAGAATTGGAAATTGTCATTTTGCAGCTATCATCCTAAAAATTGGTTCAGGCAAAAATTACCAAGAGATGCTAAGGCTGGCAGTTGGTTTGATAAAGAACAGGTATACATACAGTCTTGAAGCATCTCCCTACAAAACACTAACTTTTCAGTGGAGAAACGTGGCAAGCAGACACCATCTTAATCAAGTAAAACTTAACGTCACTAGGAAGGAGACACACCACACCAAGGGCCTCCTGACACCTTCTAGGGAAAGAAGCAGAGCACCACCTCTGTAGTACTGTCATCAAAATGCGCACATCACAAGGGCACGCTAGACAAACCAAAACTGAAGAACACTCTGTCCTCCCCCAAAATGTCACAATCACAAAAGACTGAGAACCATCCAGATTGGAGGGAACTCAAAAGACATGACAACTGAACACATGTTGCTGACCTGCAAAGGGCACCATTGGGCCAACAGCAGACTGAGGTCTGAGGGTTAGGTGGTCATCTTGTATCCATGTTAACATTTGTGCCACTGCTCCATAAGAGTAACAGTGGCACTGCTTGTTTTCAGGAAAGGCAGGCTGAAGTATTAAGGAGCAATGGAAGATGTCTGCAACTCCACTCAAAAGGTCCAGAAAATAACTGGTTACACATAGACACACACACAGGAATTTAGGGAAAGAGCTAAATGGGAGCCCTTTACACTACTGAGTTTGCAAGTATTTCAAACAAAGAGACTTAGACAAATCAACCAAATGCAATGTGTGGTGTTTGTCCAAACCAATTAAAACAAATGAGATAAACAAGCAAATGCGAACATTAAGCTATTTGTGTGGGGGTTTGTCTGTCTTTCTTCCCTATTTCCCCCACCCCCTAGGCCCTGGAAACCACTTTTTCACTCTGTTTCTGTGAGCTGGACTTTTTAGATTCCACATCTAAGTGATACCATGCAGTACTTGTCTTTCTCTGGCTTACTTCACATAGCATAATGCTCTCACGGTCCATCCATGTTGTCACAAATGACAAGATTTCCTTCTTTTTTATGGCCGAATAATATTCCATTGTGTGTGTGTGTCTGTGCACACATTTTCCTTATCCACTCATCTGCTGATGGACACTAAGGGTTGTTCCATACTTGGCTATTGTGAGTAATGCTGCGATGAACATGAGGAGTGCAGATACCTCTTGGGGATAATGGTTTCATTCCCTTTGAATAAACACCCAGAAGTGGGATGGTCGGATCGTGCGGTAGTTCTATTTTTACTTTCTTGAGGATCCTCCATACTGTTTTCCATAGTGGCTGCACCAATTTACATTCCCACCAACAGTGCACAAAGGTTCCCTTTTCTCTACATGCTCCACTTACCTCGTCTTCTTGATAAGGGCTATATTAACAGGAGTGAGGTGATATCTCACTGTGGTTTTGCTTTGCATTTCCCTGGTGATCAGTGATGTTTAGCACCTTTCCATGTATCTGTTGGCCATCTATGTCTTCTTTAGAATAATGTCTGTTCAGATCCCTGCCTGTTTTTTAATTGGTTTTTTAATTGTTCTTTTGGCTATTCAGTTGTATGAGTTCCTTGTATATTTTGGACATTAACCCAAATATGGTTTGCAAATAGCTTCTCCCATCCCATAAGTTGCCTTTTCATTTTGATTTCCTTTGCTGTTTACTTTTGCTTTTGTTGCTTTTGTTTTTGGTGTCAAATCCAAAACATCACCCCCAAGACTGATGTCAAGAAGCTTACCACCTATGTTTTCTTCTAGTTTTACAGTTTCGGGTCTTACGTTCAAGTCTTGAATCCATTTTGAGTTGATTTTCGTGTATGGTGTAAGATAGGGGTCCAGTTTTCCCAACACTATTTATTGAAGAGGCTATCCTTTCCACATTATATATTTTTGACTCCTTTGTTGTAAATTAATTGACCATATATGCATGGGTTTATTTCTGGGCTAATCTGTCCCATTGATCTGTGTGTCTGTTTTCACGCCAATATCTTACTATTTTGATTACTACAGCTTTCTAACATAGTTTGAAATCAGGAAATATGATGCCTTCACCTTTATTCTTTTCTCAAGATTGCTTTGGCTATTCAGGGTCTTTTGTGGTTCCATACAAACTTTAGGATATTTTTTTCTATTTCTGTGAAAAATACCATTGGAATTTTTATGGGGATTGCATTGAATCTATAGACAGCTTTGGGTAATATAAACATTTAACAATATTAATGCTTCCAATCCATGAACACAGGATATCTTTCCATTTATGGGTGTCTTCAACGTCTTTCGTCAACGTCTTAAGAGTTTTCAGTGTATAGCTCAATCACACAAGCTACTTGATATTAAAGAATTGTTAGTGTTTCTGGTGTGAAGTTATTGAGGTTATTTTTTAAAAAGAAAAAGGGTCCTTTTCACAGGCTGTTGGATGCAATTTGCTTCAAAATAATACAAAGAGATAGGGTGGGAAAGTAAGCAGGGGTATTGGTAAAATGAGACTGTGTTAATGATTGTGAAAGCTAGGTGACAAGGACATGAAGGTTCACCATAGCATACTCCTCTTTTGAATATCTGAAATTGTCTGTCTTGATAAACTGAGTCACCAGCCCCCAGAACCCTGTCTGGCACACAGCGGGAACTTAGTAAGTGATTAACTGAAACGGTCACAGAGCTCCTGCCTGATTAGCATCACCTCCAGGTTCCTTAACAACAGTGCCCAAGGGAGCCCATTCAGTACTGGAGTCTTTTCTCAAACTGCTCAGTGAACCCTGATCCACCCAAACCTGTCTCCTTGTAGCTACAGCGTTAATACTGCCCTTTAGAGGATAAGGGGTAAACCCACAGAAAAGTCCTTCAAGTGCTGTCACTTCACACTCCCCACTTCACTCCCGAGCAGCCTTCACATTAAAATTCCCTTCATTTGCTAAGGTACGAATGCTTTAATCCTTACACTTCCATTCACCCAAAATAAGTTCGTTCCTTCTGCCTCATGAACAGTAAAACAAGACTCATACACACACATGAGCATTAACAACTGTTTATTTAAATGTTTCAAGGATCCCAAAACCCATTTAAAAATTAAAATTGCAAAGCACTCCATTCAATAAAAGCACATAAAACCCTCATAATTAGTATCACAATTCACCATACAGCTCTTACTCTGAGAAACAATTTTACCCTTTATTACAAAGGCACAGAAGTCATCTGAGACCTCAGATGTTAACCCCACTGCATATTAATGTCACACTGCTAATGTGCAACTTCATACGATTAAAGCTTAGAGCAGTTTTCCAACACTTCATAGTGGGTTATAGATTCTTTCTATAAATAATAATTAAAAGAAATACTGGACCTTAAGACCAATATAGGCATCACAAAAAGGACCTGAAATTTTCTGCAAGGGCAGCTATATTTCCTGATGGAAGACTTTAACAGGGAAAGTCTACTGCCTGCAGCAGGCACTCTGGACCCAGCTTCGCCAAGGAAACACAGTGAAACGAGCAACCTCTAACACGCTAAAAAAATACTTTCTTGTAGGCCTCTGTGTGAACGCAGCACTGGGATCACTCGTTCACGGCTCTCATCATCCCACCAGTTTCCAGTCTTTAAAAATACGTACTTGACAGTCGAGAAGTTCTGGATTCGGTTTTAGACACCACGGTGGAGGCCCCTGTGGTGCAGCGCGCCTGAGGGTCTCCTCACCGGCGTGGGGCGGCCCCTGCGGGGTCACTGCCGGGGGTGGCGTCTGGGCTGGCAGCCCGCTCTGCTCCCTCTTCCGCACTCACCTCATCCTCCGGCGGCCCAGAGCTGGCTGCACTCTCCTCCATGAGAACGGTCCCTTCTTTCTTCTTTTCTGTCGACACCTCTAGCCCCATCATCCTGAGGTAATGAAGCCGTTCGTTCTTGGGCACGAAAGTTCGAATTGATGCCTTCCCCCGCCATCCGCATAACACAATGGGACACTGGAGGGTCTCTGGTTTCCTACAAACAAAATGGCTTCATGTAAGTATTACAAGTCCTCATAAATGCATCTACAGAGGGATTAATATGCAACCTCTCCAAAAAAAATACCCCCAAACCACTGGGAAAGCATTTTGGTCTGTGACCCTATGGAGGGTTTTCTCGAAGGAAGATCAGCTTCCTTCTTCAAGTCCTGAATACTATCAACACCCTCAGGCTGGCCAGAGTTTCCTTCTAAAAGCTCACAGTGGAATAACCCCAGATCTGCTGACTTCACAAACACTCTCGATGTTAGAATGTCTACATGCTTCCTTCCTCTGGAATCTGAAGACCTGTCCGTGATGCCCCATTACACCACCCAGCCGGCAGTTCTGTCCCACTGCCTCACTGCTCCTCATGCTCACTGCCCGTTGTTACAGATGAACAAACTGAGGCTCCTGAGAGGCTGGACAACCGGGCCCAGAGTAACACTGCCAGCAGGCTGGAGCACCAGGCCTGGTACCAGGACTGCCCACTCTTCCGACAGTCCACGCTTCAGTAATTTGGTCTGAGTGACCCTAAACTCTTCTTTGTTACCCACCCCCATGACAATATGAGCCCCTGGACACACTGAGCCCATTGGCTTCCAGCATGCAGTGTTATCTGGGTCCAGAACACTCCCGCCTCCCCTAGTCCGCTCGACCCCACCTTACAGACACACCAGGCGCATCAGCTCCCCTTTCCTCAATGAAGAGCATGGGTATCGTCTGTGTTACTCCTGTGCCCTCAAGTACTTATACGCATCACTATTTACTACGCACACTGTTAACTTCTTTCAAATGGGGCTCTGGTCTAGTTTTTGGCTCCTAAAGGCCCCACTAAGTTAAACATATGTCCCAAATCTACTTGATGCCAGGCATCAGTGACACAGGCTGAGAAAGGAACAAAGACAGAAGGGTTCAATTATATTTTTAAAAAACAAACAGTAAAAGAGAAGGGCCTGAACCAAGAAGAGAGAAATAAACCACTAAAAAGAGGGAAACAGAAACACATCAGTACCTCCCCATTTTCCCTAGGGTAAAGCATGGACAGTAAGTTGATAAGAAACAATGAGAGGAACACACGAGAAATCTCCAGACTCCCACTCTTTTTCTTTACTTTTTCTCAACCTAGTAATTCCTGACGCTGTCTTTTCACCCGTGTTCTTCAACCAGGAGAAACCAGTGTTAGTAAGGGGGAACACGAATCCACGTCCTAAACTATCGTCAAGTTTCTACCTGAGCCACATAGCACCGTTATTTTAAATACCATTTCTAGGTCTTCGTCCAAACGGTTCTGTGACCCCACCTGCACTCCCGACACATGAGCGGGCCCCCTTGTTCTCCTGGCTCCCCCATCAGTAGAGAAGCATGTCGCAATACCTCCCACCTCAAACCTTCTCTCCACCCCACCACTCACCCGAGGAAGGCCCGTTCACTGTTTTCCACAGCAAACATCTCCAAAGTGGCGTCTACGCCGGCTCTCCACTGCCCTGGCCCATTCCACAACCGTCTCCAGTTATACTTCCATACACGCACTCCATCTCGGCCACCCGGCCAACGCCAAGCGCCCTCCTCCACTCTTTGCCTGGGACACCGTCTTTCCTCTCAACTGGGTTCCCAGAACCTTTCCCCCCGGCTTCTGCAGTACCCTCCCTTCTGCCCTGTCTCCCACCTGCCCTGTTGCTCCCACTTTTACTGACCTCTCCTCCTCTAATGCCGGCACATCCCAGGGCAAGGTCCTGCACACCTTCTCTGTGCCACCTGCAGTCTCTTTCTAAGTTTCTCATCCAGCCTCCTGGCTTTAAATAGCATCGATGTGCTCATGAATCCCCAGGGTCTATCTCTGGACCTTCCTTTCCCCTTAATTCCCCAAACTTCTACCTAGCTGCCTACCCAGGTCTATTGTCTGTCTCTTCCAGCATTTCAAATTTATATGTTAGTTCTTCTCTCGTTTCCCATTTTAGGAGACAACACTTGCTCAACACAAAAACCCAGAAGCCATCAGAGTGCTCCGGTCCCTTCACTGCCCACGACCCATCTCATCAGCTCTACCTCCAAAACATATCCCAAAGGGACCCACATGCACCACTCTACCCTTGACCAACCCTCGGGCACCTGCACCTGCCTCCCAACTCACCTGCTGTCTTACTCCCCCCACCACCCCCCACGTGTGAGCACACGCACACAGGCTGCTCTCTTTACGGCCCTTGGACCTTGCAGGGTGCTTGGGCCTGCCCTCCTTCCGGAGCTCCCCACCAACTGCTCCCCAGCTTGTTCCCGCCTCAGGGTTTGAGCTTTTCAGCTTCCTTCTCACTGTTCAGACTCAGGTCACACAGTACCTTCCCAGAGAAACTGCCTCAGCTCTACCTAAGCTCTCCCCCAAATCCCTTTCTAGCCCCGTACCCTGTTTATTCCCTCTTCTCAGAAACGGTATTCTATTTCTCACTAGCTGAGGCACTCCGGGCCCACCACTGAGCTCTCCATCCCGTTTCTAGCAAGTGCTGACCTTCCGGGACCTACTCCTCCAGGATCCCCGTGAGGGGCCAGGTGCACACGTGTACAGTGTACAGTCCCGTGGTGGCTGTCAGTGTGAGCTACAGGGGGGCTAGACCCTTCTGTCTTCTTCAGCAAGTCCCCACACCCCGCCCTAGAACAGCACTGCCTGAAATGTAGCAGGGAATCCACAAACACTGGCCGAAACAGGAGAGACGGCAGAGATGGAAGAACTCAACCTCTCTCAACCGTTCAATCTTTACACTAGTTCTGTGCAAGACAGAAATTAGATTTCTAAGGCACGGAGAATAAGTACTATGTATTTTGTTCTCTAAATAAAAATACATTTGGCCTGAGTTGAATGTTCTATGAAACAATATCTTCTCTATGATATACAAGAATAAGATCTCTGTTCTAAAATTTCCACAGTCCTATCTTTAGGGGAACATTCACAAAAGGCTTCTCAGACTACCCCCGCCCTCAGGCTGATGCGACCGCCAACGCCGACTGCAGGAGCGCCCTCACTTACATGGGGTCTGGCTCGTACTTCAGGACGACGCTCCCCTTGGCTGGAAGAGAAACAGACGTGCATTGGCCAAGCTCTCCAGTTGGTGGACGCCTTTGTGGAGCACATTCACGTGCCCAGCATTGTGGACAGATAGCAACAAATAATCTAGCCTCTTGGTCTCAAGGATCTCGACGGAGAAGACAGGCCTTTCTTTTTAAAAACACAAAGCCATCAGCAAGTCAAACGCCAAGCGGGGCAGTCAAGACAACCTGGCGGGGCACGGTGGCAAAGACCTTCAGGGATTTAGTGAAGCTCCTCAGCAAGCCTCGCTCGGAAGCAGGGAGGTGGAGACCACTACAGGTTAAGTACCCAAATTCAAGATTAAATACATAATTGCTCCAACTCCTAGAAACAGCATGAAACAACACTCAAAAATTGTCAAAAATTATATTGCAATCCTCTAAATGCAGGATTAAAAAAAAGGAAAACAAGCAGTTCCCTTATCCTTTAAAAACATCTCCACTGTAACTGTGGTTCTTGTCTGAGGAGATGGCAGGAGGAGATGGATTCAACACGGCATATTTCATATTCTCCAGGCCGTCAGTTTACACATGAGTAAGAGAGATGATTATGTAACTGCAAGAACTGATTTGTGCAGTTCTCATCAAATTGAGCCAGAAACATTGAACAGTAAGTTATAAAAAATAAACAAGAATAAAAAGAAAAACAAACTTAGAACCCTTGGAATTATTTTTATTCTTAGGTGAAAATTTCACTAGAGTGATTCAAAATGGACGTTTATGAACTATAAAAGCAACATCGTGACCAATAATCTATTTTGGCTGCCTAGCAAAGCAGAGGGAACTGCTGGCAAGACTTCAAGTTCTGCTTTGACAGGGTTGATTAAATGCCAAATAAACTCGACGGCCTACGTGATTTGGTCTCATGCACCTCGCGATGCAGGCGAACCCCGCACAACTTGCCCTGGGCTTCCACACGGGGCCCTTCCCTGGCTGCCTGCTCTAGGGGGCAGCTTGGAGCTCTGGCTAGTGGGCAGGCCAGGCCCCAGCACCTGCACAGATGCCCTGAGGGCAGCCGGCAGCCCATGGCTCCACAGGGCCTGAGGAAGTAGATCAACCCCAGGGATGCCCTTGACCCTCAATACACTGAGACATCAATTATGTTTCCACAAAGCACTCTGGAATTGACACAGTCAGTAAAAAGAAAGCCACGACACACTAAAATCTAAGAATGAGAAAGATGAAACAAGCAGGAACAGCTCTCTCTGCAGTCTGTATTAGGAGGTGTTATGCCTCTATGCAAGTCAAACGGCTTACCCAAGTCCTTGGCTTGGCTGTATGTCTCACTGCTAAGTTTTCTAAAAAATGGGTTTTCCTGGGTTAACAGAATTTTAACATCTTCTAGCGTTACAGTGATAATTCTTGAATTAATAAATGGATACAATGTATATATTCCCTGTGAGAATAGAGAGAGAGATCAACATTATGAATGGTGACAACCACCCACCCTCCAGTGTACAGTGAGTGCCAGGTGTCCTCAGGGACTTTCTGGGGTCTGCAGTTGGCCCTCACCTCACCAACAGCTCCAGGCAGGTGCAGCGCCCCTGCCCAGAATCTGTAATACATGAGCAAGCAGGCCCTGGGCAGGAGAGGAAACCCGCCCTCGGAGAGCTCAGTAACCCACCAGGCTGGCTCAGAAACACCTACTTACACCCGACTGCTCCACATTTATTCATGGCTAGGGCTATCCAAGTACACTGCCCAAATTACCTCCTGGGCTAACCGGAAAGCACAATCAAACTCTTCACCACTGTTATTTCGACACCAGACTTTTATCCCTGTGTTAATAACCTGTAAGCGAGAAAATGAGATGAAACACAATCATACATCAAAGTCACAGGATAATCAATTAAAATAAGCCCTTCTACCCCGAGGAGGCAGAGCAGTAAGTAGCTGCTGACGTGGAGAAGGGAAGAAGAAGGGAAAACTCTGAAAGGCATCTGACTAAGGGCTCTCACAGCCCGAGTGCTGCTCTCACATGGCTTTGGTTTATGTGGCTCATAGTGACTAATAATTACCAGAACACACAAAACCAGGAGACTTCAAAAAGACAAGAATATGTGTATGCACAAATTCCACAGGCTGCTGGGAACAACGATGCCGTCACCCTGAAAACCCCAGTGGACACCCAAGAGAGGAGAATAAAAAAGGCAACTAATATCTTAGTGTTGTTATGAAAATACTTCTGACCTCATGAACTCCAGACCACACTTGGAGACATGCTGCACTAAGTAAGCAAAGGGAAAAATGAGTTGGGAAAACAGTAAAGCCAATGAAAACAGGGGCCTAAATGCGGAAAAATCCTAAGAAAATGGGAAAGACAAACACTGCCAAAGGCCCACGGAGCAGCTGCAGTCAGCCCTCCAAATCCTCTGCACCTGCCCCCGTGATACCCACAGCGGGAACACCATTGACCCTCACCCTCGGTGAGCACAGTGGGACGGACAGGACACAGGCCGTGCATCCCATGCTTGCTAACAGCTCTAAAACCACGCAGCAGGCTCGGGCACCCTCAGCCCATGATGGACACAGAGAGCAGATGCCAGGATTTGCTCCTCCCAAATGAAACCTCAGCAGATGGGGAAAAACACACATGTCCCTAATCATGCATCGTCACCTGTCCATGAGGTGCGCACCTTCATCCTCTCACTGTTATTCAGCAGCACATTCCTCAGCTCCTTAGAAACCATGTAGAGCTGCCTTTTCTTCCCTTCTGTAGTCCGAGTTAACAAATTCATCTTTGGGAACGAAGGGTCCAAAGCATAAAATTTCCTATAAACAAGATTGTGCTGTTTACAAGAGTTTAGTTCAAAATTTAACAGACTGTCTCTAAGCATCTTACTCTCCCTCGACAGAATTCAATTTCTAAAACTCAGTGTGATTTAAGTGCAGTCGAGCTCTGTGATGGGCTCTCATTTTCTAAAACTTCATCTATTTTGCCTGAAACCTCCAAGCAGTTTTTATTTGAGGCACAGCCAGATGAGGGACCTACATTAACAGGTGCAACGTCTTTCCCTCAACTGCTACTCCAAGGACAACGACCTGAGAACACCCACACTACTTCTGAGGGACTTGTACAAACGTATGCAAAGAACCGTTACCCACAGGACAACATAAGTGACCACTCTGGTAAATATGTACTAAAACTTAATGAATAAAGAGGAGATGAATCTGAGACTGTTATCCTAAGCACCTTTCCTCTCTGTTCTGCCTGGGAAATTCCTAATTAGGGCCCTCCACCTCCACCCAGACCCTCTGGTCTTCCTTTCCCAAACAGGAACCGAGGTGGGCAGCCTTGGCCACTGATGTCTAAACTCGAGTAATTTACATGTGCGATCACAGTCCAGGGTTTTCCACCTCTGTATCATCTTCCCCTCTGGGCAGTTTACTTTCTCTGATTACTGCTCACTTCAAATTGAAAGATACAGTCGACCTCAAGTTTCACCGAGCTCTAACATGCAGTTAAAGGAAAAAAAAATGCTATACACAGCTAAACAAAACACTACGGTTAAACGTGACCAGTTACAATTTCGAAACTCTACAGTAAATTTCTTTAAATGAAGAATTAAAAAGGTTGAATTAATCCTTACTGGATAGGTGGAAATAATGGGTCATCTTCAGGAATAAATACAAACGGATCTTCTTTAAATCCAAATAACTTCATTTTTTTAGATGGAGGAGGACTAAGGGAATCGGGATGAGAAAAATCCATCTGTAATCTCAGTAATAATGTTGAACACCAAAAGTACCTTCTTCCTTTCCCACCCAACCCACCTCCCCAGCTCGGTGCGATACGGGGTTACACACACGCAGGCTCCGCAGGGAGGCTCGTGATAGACTTCTACCTCCAGATAACAGACAGCAGCAATCGCCACAAGTTCATTAGCACTGACCCCCATCCTATGCCAGCCGAGGATGTCCCACACCCATCCGCTGCAAAACCACTACAGGAACGGCCCCCTGATCCCATTCAATCTACGAGGGCTGCAAAGCCACTACAATGTTAGGATCAAGACATAACCATTTTTCTTACCCACACACACCATCTTTCCTATTTCCATTATTCTCTAAATTCTCAGTTCTTTCAATTATGTCTGTGTCGCCAATTCCTGTGACCGGTTTACTTTCAAGCTTGGAGGGGTCTGCAGCTTTTCCTGTGGTAGGATCGGCAGGGTTCACCTGCACAGGTTGTCTCGGCTCCGCAGAGTCACCCTGCAGCTGTAATGGGCAATAAGTTTGTTTACACTCAGAGAGCAACCCACTTTACAGTGCCGCAGGAAAATCAAGAACACGAGTTCACAAAATCAGTCTTAACTATTTTTCTACAGCACTTTATATATACAAGACAACAATCTTTTCTTTAAAAAGTATTTTAAACCTATTTGCTATTATAAACAGAATTCATGAGCACTGTTTCTTCCAGGTTAAATTCAATTACCTTAACCCCCTAACGAGCAGAGCCAGCCTGTTTCCTAGCAGAGGCCGACAGCGTGGCCAGCTGGTCTCCATTTACAATGCTCCCGTGCATCTGCTCTGTGTAAAGCTCACTGAGGGACACAAGTGAGCCCAATACTGCCCCTAAAACAGCAGACAGGCCAAAAAGACAAGTACGTAAATAACTGTGACATGAGAAGGACAGTGAATACTGTCCAAGGCACCTGGATAAACTGCTGTGGAAATTAGAAGAGTGTACCTCCAGGGACCAAAGAAATACCTAGGAATAATGAATGAACTTCTGAACTGGGCAACAGTATAATCTGGCTTTGAGAACAAGCAAAATGTTTAATTATACTAAAATTTTTTATATGTATTTTTTATAAAATCTCATAAAAATTATTTAAAATTATATGCCCTTTCTTATCAAGTCACAGATTGGTACAAGTAATAATTCCCAGTTCGTATGAAGCAACTTTACAAATTAGGATACTTGAGCACAGAAAAATTAAACATGTTCCCCAAGGTCACCCCACTGTAAGGCAGACAAGCTGGGGAGATTCTAAAGCCACTAATGCTACGCAACACTGCCTCCCAGAGAATACATTTTATTTAAATGTAAAAAAAAAGCAAAAAACAAAACCACCCCCCCAAACCTCTTGACAAGGCTAGCAATGGCACATATCCATCCTAGCCCCATCTCCACTTCTGGAAATGCTGCCTTCTTTTTCAGAGCCTATCTTAATGCCACCTTCCCCAGGAAGCTTTCTCTGTTCCATGTCAGGGATCTGCCTCCCGAAATACACCAACAGCACTTCGTCAGTGCGGCTCTCCCTGGCTTGGACTCTAGCTCTGTTTACACGTCGCATCACTTCATCTAGATTAGGGCGTCTGGAGGACGAAGAGTCTGTCTGAGTTATCAGTGTGGCCCCAGAAGTGCCAAGTTGTGCTAGCTCATAGGGCAGGCAACCAGAACATATTTACTCAGCAAAATGAATAAGGAACTGACGTCGTTAACAGAAATGCGGAGAAGTAATAATATTTAAATGAGCAAATAATACCAAGTTGTTATAAAAAGAATGACACCACATCAGAGGAGATAGACTGAAGGAAAAGTTCCAACTCCACTTACATACGTGGTTACATGACAAAAATGTCAACGTAGCCCCAAATGCAAGTAAATCTGAAGCACACGTACGTATAACAGGCTCTAAACTGGTGCTGTGCAGGACATGTGCTGTCCGACCACTTCGACCACTTCAAAGGTGACGAGTGCAAAGTCAGACATATCTTAGAGTGTAAAATTCACACTATGTTAAAAACTCAGTATGAAAGCACGTAAACTGCCCCATTAATAACTTACTTTGATTACATGTAAATAACATTTTAAATATACCTGGATAAATAAAACATTATTACAATTAATTTCACTTTTGTTCCTGTTTACTTTTTTAAATGTGGCTGCAAGAAAACAAATTGTATCTGTGACTGGGTCCCATTTCTATCAGACAGCACTGCTCCGAGCTCCACAGCTTTACCCCCGACCAAGGAGTCTGGGACTGAGCAGAGTCAAGAATACCACGCAAGGAGACTTTCAGTCTCCAAGAGAACGTTCCCTAGCCCGCCACCAACAGCAGAGGGACTGCTCCAGAAGTGACCATTCCCTTCCTGTGCCAGGGTGAGGCCGTGCCTTTCCAACGTGAACCTAGGTTAGCCACAGCCCAGAGAACGCTTTCCTTTCTGTCTCTCTAAAGGCGAAGCATTGTTTGTCCTAATTTTAAAGCATGGATATGGAAGAAACAAACCTTCAGACTGTGATTCCAGGCCGTGTTCTATGATTATGGAAGGCTGACATACAAACTAACAAAACAATGCCAGTGGCATTGACAGAGAGGGGCCACATACCGATAAAGACTGATAGACAGCACATATTAAACGGCAACTTCAAGTTGAGGCTGGGAAGGCTGCCCTCTTTCTCAACCACTCGACTTTGTGGCCTCCCTTCTAACCACCAGCAGGCAGCTGACATTCATGGCAACAGGTCAGGCCCTCTCTATTTCAGTTCAGCCAGCCCTGGACAAAGCCTGTCATTATCCCTCACGACAGGTGAAGACAGGCTGGCCTGAGGCTAGCAGAGTGCTGTCGAGCTGCCAACAGGCTGAACTGAACCAACCCACAGTGTTTACCAGAGCACAGACGCCAGCCTGGGGGGCGCTCTGATTCAGAGCCACAGAGCAATCTTGATGTCTTTTCAATTTTTATTAAAGAACTAGATTTAAGATTTAGAAGGAATACATTCCCCAAACACTGCCTTTCACACTTATCTCTTCCTTACAAGAAATTGCTGCTTTTTGGAAAACTCAAAACTTAACTGAATTTTTCCCCATCACATGTTCAGGGTCAGCCCCCTTCTACCCTCTAAAAATCTTTCCACCAACCTCTGTCAGTTTCTGCCTGAAATGCACAAAAAGATCACACGGAACACTATGTTATTTTGGAAGTCATTTACCTTTGGTGGACGTTTATTCCATGGCATTGAACATTTTTTCACTAATACTGCCACAAAGAACCCTCCAGTATTTTGATGATGTGGTAATATTCTAAGGCTAAAAAAAAACACAATTCATACTTTTTAACCGATCCAAAATACATTCTTTTAGTATTTTACCATAAAGATGATCTGTGCTAGAAAAGTCACGTCTTACTGTAATATTCACACAACCCTCGCTCACAGAATGGCCACTGTGTAATGTGTCTAAAGTTAATGAAGTATCCAGTCTTATCAGTTACGTCCGAACCACTTTCATGGCTCACAAATGCTCGATGCCAGCAGGCACTGAGAAGTTCTTACATGCTGGAAAGTTCACATACCTGAGTTTGGCCCGGGGTGCAGCCTTGGCCTCGCAGGAATGCTGGAGGGCCCGACCTCTCCACCTTCCCTAAACCCTGAGTGCCCCACAAACTCACCACCGCTCTAGGTGCATCGCCTGCAACTTTTCTGGGTCCTTTGGTGGGAACATGGTAGGTCGAATCTGGGTGTGTCTGCTGTGAGGAACCTCATCCCACTCTGCAAACCACTGTCCATCTTTCGTCATTACCTGCAAAATGAGAGGGTGGCATTCAAAATTACCAGCACCATCTAATAAGAAGAAAAATCACAGGGTGGTAGTGTAAATGCTCTCAAACACGATAAATGGTGATTCTCATTTGTCTCCAAAAACTAGGAAAACTATTTGCAAAGATAAAAATGTGATAATCTTTTATTCCATAAAACAGATCATTTTATAATAGAGCATTTTCCGTGTGGGTTTTTTTTTTTTTAACAAGCATCAGATTGTTTCTGGCTTAAAACTGAAAAGTGAATTGTTTCATACTGGAAAGGCAGTTTGAATCCCCAGTGAATAAAAAAAATAAAGCAAAGCTATACTGACAGGGACGAGAATAAACAGAGCCGATTTCTAATTGCAGAATAAAGGCAGAAAAACTGTTCCACGGCCAGAGAAAAATACTTGTATAATCATACCCTTCGTCATTAAATACCATTTTGAAATTGATTCTAAACTGTATAATCAAACGTAGTGTTTACTCAAGTTACCCAACTGTGGATGCTTTCACACTTTCAAGACGCTAGGAAGCCTGTTAGGCTGCAGCTGCTCTGCTGAGCTCGAGTCCCCACAGAGATTACCTTCCACTGCGTGATTCCAGGCATCCACTTCAGTCCCGGCAACTCCGAAGACACGTCAGCAAGCTCCAAAGCACCTATGGATCCAAAAAAGATTTCCTGAAGATCACTCAATCCCACACTTAGAACAAGCATCACGGTGTGTGAATTACAGCTCGATGGAGCTGCAGCAACGAGGTGGGCGGCCGAGCCCACGACGCACCCAGGCTCACGGCCACCGCACAGGCCACCTCGGATGCACACTCGGCGAGACTCCTGGCTTCTAGATACGCACCAGTCAGACGATTCGGGTCTTCACACTTTTATGGCTAACAAACATTCCAGAAGCAAAAAACGACATTTAAAGTGAACTGTAGAAATTTTTAAACATTCAGGTTTAGACCCAAGTTAGTTTTCTAAAACTGCCCATCAGGACGATCAGTCCAGTTTTAAAAACACTGTGTCTACAGTAGCAATCTTACAAGAAGCTGTAAGACAGGGCCATGACAGGAAACCTCTTAAATGAAGTACCACCCACAGATCACGGATACAGATTTGACAGCCTCACGGGACAGGAAAATCCAACAAAGCTCCACAGAGGAGCCGTGCAAAGCATGGACAATTATAAAAACAAAGCAAAAGAATCCCCAAGGGGAGGTCTGACAGTAAGAAACCTTTGACAAAAACATCGCACTGACTCCTGCTATCAGGTCTGAACACTATTCCTTTAACAGTGAACACTCAGCAGTGCAGGTACACAGAAACTGGCTTCTCAATCAAACAGCGCACAGGGCTCACCAGGGACATCCTGCCAGCATGCGGTCAGAAGCTGCCAGTGCTGGCCCAGCGTTCGTAAACTGGATGTTTGTCGGCTGCCCTTCCTCCAGCTAAATTCCAGGGTACTTTCAGGAGGGGACCACACTGTCTCCAGTGAATATCCCAGCAACTGTGAAGTACGAGGCTGAGCAAGGGTCTAATTCTCCCAAAAAGGAATGTGGACACGACGCCTCTGCCAGGGTCGAGAGGAAGAGCTACAACACCGTCTGAAACAACCGCGTGCAGAAAGACGGCTATGAGGGCAAAACCTAGACTGGAAACCCGCCTGCCCAGTAAGAAAACAGTACCACACCCATAGCTAAATTTACTATTACATCACCCACAGTCCTTCCCTTCACATGCCTTTTGAAATAAAAGCAGCAGCAAAAACGTAGAGATTAGGATCATGCAAAAACACCAGTCAGAAATCATGTCTTTATGTACCCCTACATAAGTAAAGCAAAACAAGATAAACACAACATATTAAATTCGAGTCCCAAGGACTCCGAAGGTGTGAACAATTAGAGGGCTGACTTCACAGCCACTGAGAAGAAGGGAACTGGAAGCCTGGTCAGTTGTGGCTACCACCTCGGGAAATGCATACTTGTTTCAATATTTATGTTTCAAGTCACTTCATACACACGTGTAGTAAATTTGGAAGCATTCTATTCTGGAAACATAGTCTGAAACTTTTCATTATTTACTTTAGGAGAATATGATGGGAAAGGTTAACATTTCAGTGAAAACATAACAGGAAAAATAATATTTTACACCAAAGCATTATGGAAATTACTGTTTCATAACATTTCATACAATCTGTCCAGTCCCTCGGCAAAAAACCATGTTATAAGACCTCACACCCATTAGGATGACTATTATCAAAAAAACAGAAAATAACAAGTGCTGGTGAGGATGTGGAGAAATTGGAACCTTTGCGCACTATTGGTGGGAATGTGAAATGGTGCAGCTGCTGTGGAAAACAGTATGGCAGTTCCTCAATCATAGAATTATCACATCATCTAGCAATTCCACTTCTGGGCATACACCCAAGAGAACTGAAAGCAGGATCTCAAAGAGTTATTCATACAGCCATGTTCCTAGTAGCATTATTCACAATAGCTAAAACGAGGAAGCAACTGAAATATCCATAGATGGATGAATGGATAAACAAAATGTGGTCTATACATACAATGGAACATTATTCAGCCTTAAAAAAGAATGAAATTCTGATACAGGCTACGACATGGATAAACCTTGAAAACATTATGCTAAGTGAAAAACCCAGTCACAAAAAGACAGATACCATATGATTTCACTCACAACATACCTAGAGGGATCAAACATAGAGACAGAAAACTCAATGGTGGGAAGACGATAATGTGGAGTGGTTTACTGGGTCCAGAATTTCAGTTTTGCAAGACGAAGAGCTCTGGAGATGGCTGCACAACAATGTGAATGTACTTAACACTACTAAATTGTATACTTAAAAATAGGTAACACAGTAAATTTTACATTACTTGTGTTTTACCATAATTAAAATTTTTTTTTAAACCATATCTTTCAAACTTGGAGAAACAAAATGGGCAAACTTCATAATTCATGAAATACAACAAATCCATTATATAAACATGTTTTTAATTAGGGATATCTCACTTTAGAGTTTATAGTTATAGACTAATCACATAAGCAAATGCTCAGAAAAAGGTCTACAGAAATATACAATATAGCAATAAACAAGATTTCTGAAAAGTACTTGCTTTTATTAAAAGCTTCGTCAAGCATGCTTACCTTCACTCTTTTCCAGTAAAGCAGCTATGACTGCCTCATCTTCAATAGGGTTTAGTGAACACGTGGAATACACCATCCTACCGCCGTCCACCAGCTGTTCTGCACCTCTCGTGGCAATCCGCAGCTGTAAGCTAAGGATTAGATACTAGGTTACCCTAAGACCAAACAAAACCTGCACAGCACATACATTACAGGCACCTATTATATCATACATTTATTACAAGCTTTTATGACAGATACAATAAAGAAGAAAATACTCCAGGTAAAATGAACAATTTCCATAAAGAAAAAATTTTTTAAGGTTCTAAATGAAGTTAGAGTAAACCTATATAAAGTGGTTCCTGTTGATAAAAAAACCATCTATTTATATAAACAAGGGTTCTACTGTTCTGTGTGCCTTTCCTAACACGTCAATGAGCAAAGCATAAAGCTGATCACCAACCGAATTCAAGATATTAGATGAATTTCACTATTAAAAAGCCTCTAAACTTGTACAAATATCTGAGTTCTCTTTCTGTGAACCATTTGTATCACTGTACGTTCTAATCCTAATGTTTGTTTCACAAAAACAGTGCTAAGTGTTTAGAGAGAAACAAAATCTGCTGCTGGAGTTCTTTTTTTTATAATTTTTACTTATTTATGTTTTCCCCCAAAGCCCCAGTAGATAGTTGTATGTCATAGCTGCACATCCTTCTAGTTGCTGTACGTGGGACGAGGCCTCAGCATGGCCGAAGCAGCGGTGCGTCAGTGCGCGCCCGGGATCCAAACCCGGGCCGCCAGCAGCGGAGCCCGTGCACTTCACCGCTAAGCCATGGGGCCGGCCCTGCTGGAGTTCTTTATGGTGAATATTCATTAGTGCTCTTTAGATCAAGCACAGTTCTACCTTGAAGAATGTATAACTTTCAATGTTAAATGAAAAAAAATACAAAGCTCTGTACATAATACAGTCAAAACTGCTCAAAACAGGTATTTTAAAAATCCCTCTGCATAAAAAAACACTACAATACACGAGACATTACTGAAGTTATCTTTGAGTTATGGGATTTTCTTTTTCCTTCTACTTTTAAGAATTGTTTTAAAATTTTCTTTAATGAACATTTTTCCCATCATAAAAAAGCCAATCAAAAATACTTCTAAGAGATCAAAATGTTAAGCGAAATAATTCAACACAAAAGAACAGAAAACAGAGGAGAAAGATTAGTAAGACAGTTAAGATAAACAGTCATTTCATGGAAAATGTACGTTTGAAATGTTACAGGAAATTGTTATAAACGGCATTTTTAGTAAATGTGTACCTGAAAAGCATACAATCTTCTATTTACTACTCTTAAAATGTTTTAAATGGGGCAGGCCCAGTGGCGTAGCCTTTAAGTGCACGCGCTCTGCTGCGGCGGCCCGGGGTTCGTGGGTTCGGATCCCGGGCGCACACCGATGCACCGCTTGTCAGCCATGCTGTGGCGGCGTCCCATATAAAGTAGAGGAGAATAGGCACAGATGTTAGCCCAGGGCCAATCTTCCTCAGCAAAAAAAGGAGGATTGGCATCAGATGTTAGCTCAGGGCTGATATTCCCCACACACACAAAAAAAGGGTTTTAAAAACAACTATTTCTGATATATAAGCAAACTCTCATGAAGGTGGCCATTAACACTCTGATGCTTAGTCAGTCCATTAAAGATCTGGGTGCTCAGTTAGCTAATTCAACAATAAATCTTTACTCATCTATTTGTCAAACAATGCTACGGTTTTATTTACCCATGCAGCTGCAAGCTATTTAAGGTGGTCCACTTTTTCCAAACATCAATGTTTTTTCTCATAGTGCCATCTCCACTGGAAAGAAAGATATTTAAGAACTTAAAACTCTGTACAGATAGATGATTAGAATTTAACAAATATGTCATGTTCAAGCTAAATTACAAAACAGGTATTATTATAATAAATACCAATTAGAAAACAATCTAAATTCTCACAAACTACAATCAACTTGCTATTTCTGTCTTGGGGACACACTAATACATTAAACTTTTTAATTATACTTCAATTTTCAATTCAATTAGGGAAATAAAAGATTTGACAAGGAAACCTCATTCAACACTTAAAGAAAGAGTAATTTGCTTCCAGTTGACAGAAATAACTAGCAAAACTAATTTTCAGGCCTAGAACACAGAACCATGAATACATATAAGACATTTTGATCCTGCTACTTACAAACTCAGTTAATCCACAGTGGCATTTAAATCAGAATTACACGAATACTGATAAACAGACTCATAAAGGACTTTCCACACAGCAAACTCAATTAAGCCAACTTAATTTCTTCACTAAGATTTTTCTATATATCACAGTTAAACATTTTTGATTTTCTACTTAATGGAAATTATTTCCATGTAAATTTTATAATACAGACTTGATCCATTAATCTTTCTGTCTGCATCTAATTTTATCTGCCCAGTTTTTCTGGGGTAACTCCTGCATCTGTTGGCTTTCTCTGTAAAGCTAATTTTCCTTGGTGGTCTAGCCACATGTCCTTGAGGTGAAGAGTCTGCAGGATGAAAATGTCCTATGAGATATAATGGCTTTCCAATGACATACTTCACTTGTGTGGTGGTGGCTTAAAATTCCACCATACTTGCATCAATTTCCTCAGCTTACAACTTAGTGCTTGTGAGGTCACTTCGTTCTCACAATATGATACGAGAAATGAGTTATATTTCTGATCAAAAGAACAGAGGAATGAGAAAATAACTGATTCAAAGGAAAACTATAAAACTGCAACCCAGAGGAAAAGGGATGTAGTCCATGACCTATTTTAAATTTACTTTAAAGGGGAATTCTTTCACGTATTTTGAAACTCAGCCACATTCAGAGCTACCAGCTACAATTTTCAAACTGAGTTCTGCCAATAGCAGTAAACCTGTCGCTTGTTTAAACAAGATGAAACTTAACATTGCTGTGTCATAGTAAACACTGTGTTCAGTGCTAACAGTTTTGTGGCCATTTTGCACTTGACAAATTCATGTGTTCAGAAGGCATTAAACTGTGATCATCATCTATGTCACTGCCTCCAGGAACTTAACAGACATCTTTCGTTTTATTCTTTTCTTTGTGGAAAAACTCAGTTATGCCAAGAAATTCTTTTAAGGGTAAACTCTACAATTCTAAAATTTATATGTAAAACTTGAAGGAAGGTATGTGTATAAATACTGGTAAAATGAGTTTCTCAAAGTTTGAACTCCTAAATTTCATGGTGCTAAATAACAAGACTTACCATTAAGACCCAATGTGACCACGTATCATTCTACAATAAAGTGTTTTATGTACCCACTGGCAGTACGAACATAAATACCTGGGATGAGCACATCACTCCCAGCAATATCCTGAAATGCACCACACTGAGAGTCTACGGTGTTATTTTCCTCTCAGCTGTTTTCTTTATATATTTTTTTAAGATTACTTATCAAAACCATCCCTTGTTGTTCCGTATCCTAAGTCTGCTGTGCTGTTCATCACTAAGATTTTGAGTGTCTGTCTTCTGATTGAGGCTCATGACGTCCCTCTCTTCACATCAGCTGCCACAAGAATCAAACAAACACTTGTGCATGTGTTCACGTGCAGCTTCATTTCAGTCTATATTTGATTTGATTCCTTAGTGGATTTCAGGCTTTCTGGCCTCTGAATAATATAAATACCTGCAAGGGACATCACACAAAATGCGATCATAGAAGAGAACCTCTTTCCTTCCGTTCACGTCTATTTGGAGTCTAGGTATGCTGGACGCATCGTGGTTGACCACCATGATGCAGGGACTGCTCAACCTTTTGGCTTGATGAACAAGCAGATAGCAGCGCTTGTTGTCCACATCATTAGCGATGACAAATCCCTCTGGAAATAGAAAATTGTAGGGTCAAGTGAAATGCAGCATAAGAAGAATAACTTCCTGAAATACATAAACTGTATGTTGGCAGAGGAGAAGCGGCAATCCACCAAATTTAAGACCAGAGCTTAAGATGTGCAGGAACGACATAAGCAGTCCAAAAAGGAACCCGGTGGCTCAGCATAGATTTTATGGTCACCTCAAACTTCCAAACTTCAAGATTCATTTTTTTCAACAATTATTCACTTTGTACAAATTACTGTGCCAAAAATGTCTTTTGTTAATAACTATTTATAAAAAAGAAGGAGGTAATGGGATAAAAAAAGGTGTAGAAAACAACAGAATCACTGAACAAGTGTTTAAAATGCTGCATGTGTGCTGGGGCCCCCTGCTAGACTCTGCAGATCAGACACCTAGGGTGGGGTCTAGTCTCCTGTATGTCTATGCTGTTCCCTGGGAAATTCGAATCTGCACCCCTGGCTAAGAGCTGCTTCTGGGAAGTTTCCTGGGGGCTGCCTCTTATCACTTCAACTTCTGTGATACAGATATTTATCACAGAAAAGAGGACTTAAAAAACACAGCTAACAAGCATGCACATTAAAACAGAACTAGAGCAGCTGGCTTAAACAAAAGGAAGCAATATGAGATAAAGGCAGATAAAAATATTACAAGACTAGCACACACTATGAACAGTATTTTTCACTTCTTAAAAGAACCCCTATGAAGGAGCAGCAGTGATACTGTAATAGCTGCCATTTCCTGAGCACTCTGCAATTCTATATACCATCCCCTGAGTTCAGGACCGATGTCCATTCCCTAAGTGATGTCTAGTAATGTCACGAACCTTGCCTATTAAATGGTGGTGAGATTTGAACCTGGGAGTCCGGGCAGCTCTTAACAACTATACTCTACTGCCTCTCACATAGGCAGTAAGTAATCAAAAAACACAAAAACCAACGCAAAACTGTTACTACTGAAAATTCAAACTGCAATCTCTGCTACAGCTTAATAAATAAACACTATTTGCTTTTATAGAAAACACACATAATTCTAAAATAAAGGTTCCCTTCCCACAATGTACAAAATCTAGTTTGAGAACTAGTGATGGTGGTGTGCAAAATGTCCAGATCTACTTTCAGAGAGAGAAAACCCACCGACTTGTCACAGGAGGCTTGAAGCAATGTTGTTATCTTTTCCTCACCTACAACCCACCAAAAGCAGCATTCCTACCCTCTGAAGTGCCAGCCCAGCGCATACCTGGGAAAGGGACATTCATGTCGGCATGCAGCATCTCAATTAACTGTGCGGTCTTTGATCCAGGTGCAGCACACATGTCTAAGATCTGTTAACAAAGCAAGAAAATGATGTTTTTATTTTAAGAAGTCAAACATTCTACATTTAATTTAAAACAATTTTATGAGTCATTCTAGTATCTGACTTCTATCCCAAGACCTAAATTTCTTTATAGAATGAAACTATAGCAGGATATATTTAACTTATACAGATCTCATAATATATACTGCCCCCAAATCACAGAAGGACAAAGATACTCCCCCCAGGGGATAGGAATAGAACGCCATCAGAAACCAGTAAAAGCAATAAATTTAAGGAAGAATGAGTAAAGAGATTAAGTGCAAGAAGTATTATAACATACTGCTCCAGGGCAGAGCTGCTGGGGTTCAAACCTCAGCTTAGCCACTGACCAGCCCGGTAACCGTGGGCCAGTAACTTCAACTTTTGCCTCCTTTTCCTCATCTGAAAAAATGGGGACGGGGTAGCATCTACTCTCCCAGGGATGTGTGGATAATAAATGAATTAACTCATGAAAAGAATGCAGAACAATGCTCGGCATGCGACAAGCTCTCGATACATGTTCACTGTGATTTCAATCTGATTTTGTCAGTCTAGACCATTGAGGATAATCTGTGTAGTAAATAAACAAATTAATAACAAACTTGAAAAGGGAAGAAAATAGTTATCTGAGTTTTAAAAATTAAATAGGATAAAAATGCAAAAAAGAACCTAAAATAAAATACATATCATTCTCTACTGTAGCCAAAGTGAAAAAAAAAACAAGGATTAATTATATTAAGAACAAAGATCTCAACAAAACAGAGAGGCAGCCTAGCCACTGCAATTTTCTACGTAATACACGTACCTTATGGTGAGGCTGGGCATTCAGCAACAGTGGTGGAATCATGCTAACAGCTTCTTGACGGCTGATATTTCCCTTAGAAAATAAATTTTTAAAAAAATCAGCGACAACATTAAAAAAGGCAGATTTCAATGTTGGGCATTATTTCAAGTGCAACAGAAAAAGACCATATATTCAGACACAAACGAAAAAGTCAGTACTATCACACAAACATTAAATAAGCGGGACAGAGGGCCGGCCCCGTGGCTTAGCGGTTAAGTGCGCGCGCTCCGCTGCTGGCAACCCGGGGTTCGGATCCCAGATGTGCACCGAGGAACCACTTCTCCGGCCATGCTGAGGCAGCTTCCCACATACAGCAACTAGAAGGATGTGCAACTATGACATACAACTATCTACTGGGGCTTTGGGGGAAAATAAGTTAAATAAATAAATAAATAAATAAGTGGGACAGATTTCTGTAGTAGGAGATAAATGGTTGCTAACTAAAGGCTAAGTAGGGATGACCATTAATACCAAAACTTACTGTCAGAATATCAGAAATGCAGGTATAATACTGAATTTTATTTAAAAAGGGGACTTTAAGCTTACATAGTCCCAATCCGCCATCTTAAGAAAGTATGGAAGATGGATGACCATCTCTCAAAAGTAGACAATGCCACTGAAATACCTTCAGTAACAGGAGTAACCAAAACACGCACAAGACAGAAAGTCACTGTTGGGAAGTTTTTCCCCTTTAGCTAAAATTATAACTTCTATTTCTTAGTCCTCCTCTGTTTTCAGGACAGACCACATCTGCTTTCTATTCCTGAGAAATGCCTCTCAAAAAGATAAAGACATCAACCACTGCTCCTCTTTTTGCTTCTCAAAGAGAAACAGTATCTAAAATTCCTCACTAAATCATCCCTCCTCAAGATCTTTGCTGACGGGCCAGGGCATCTGTTAAAACGTAAAACTGTTCAGATTCGGACAAAACTTCCTTGATTAAGTCCAGCACTCGCCTCAATCACAACTCTATCTTAACAGCCTTAAGAACAAATGCTTAAAAAAAAAAAAAGAAAAAAGGCTATCTCACAGCAGCTACCAGGCGGCTTCTGCTCCATTACAACACAGGTCTTTTGTACTTGAACAGCCACCCTCTCATACTTATGCATCTGACCAACTTGTACATTCACACCTGCTAATTTTTACCTCATGGGTTTCTGGCCAGCATCGAGTCTGTAAAGACTGAATCCTGATAGACTCACCGGCACAGTGATTCCAAGCTCTGTGTTATACCTGTGATTCTGATAAGCCTGCCCTGTTTTCATCCAAGTTTTCAATTAAAGCATTGAAGTGGGATGGAGACATTAGGCCACGACTACAGACTTCCCAGCCGTTGAGTCACCTGATTCACAGACACGCTTTGAAGAGGTTTTGCAGCCAGCTTTGAAGAACCCAGAAACTATCTCACCCTGCTGACTCCTGATAAAAACCCAGACTGGCTCCTAACAATACACGCTACCAACACTAAACTCCCATCTTCTCCACCTTTCGCAGCCACCTCACAACCTACAACTGTGTATCACTCCATTCCCCACAAAGCCTCTGCTCTGCTGAAGCTCAGACCTGATTTGTTCTAGATTAAAAGCTGAGCCAGAGAATCCTTTCTTGTACTGGCCCAAATACAGAATTGGGTATGTGGCAGTGCTTACTTCCCTTTATTCCTTACTAAAGCTGGTGGGCGGGGGGGCCACAGGCAGAGACAGAGCTCAGTTTACCAGGTTACCTAAATGGACAGAAAGCCACCGTGGTAGGAAACAGCTGTCGGTCAAGCAGAGGTTAGAACTAACTGGGCAAGGTAAAGGGTTTCTGAATCGGTTACGGCTTCCAGAAAAAAACACGGGAAGCATGACAATTCTGTTGAGTGGACAGAGAAGCCCAGAATGAAATAAGCATCATCTGGTGACAGTGAGGTTTCCTTGGCTAGAAAAAGGAGATTAGAAAACAGGACAGAGAAATTCCTGAATTTAAAATGTGAGACTACTAAGAATTCCAAAAGAATAAGAAGAAAACAGCAAAGCTTAAAATATCTAGACTTTATGGATGTTCATTTAATCACATATTGCATGAGGGAACAGCTATTCTGTTGGAGAAGGTTTGATGCTAGAGGTAAGCAGTTCAGTGACTAAACTATAATCGAGGAATTTGGTATGGCAAAGAAACAGAGAGGTCGTTTTTGAGAACCAAAGTTGTCCTATTTAGGTGTTTTCTGTATGTTTGTTTGTTTGTTTTGGCAAAGGTCAAGTATAGACAGGAGCAAGAAAAAACAGAAGTGATAAAAAGTGAGTTTAAAAACCTCACTTTAATAAAATAAATAACAGGGCCATAAGAACACATTACTTTTTCTGTGCGACAGGCCCCTGGCACGTGCACCTAAGAAGGACGTGAGAGTGGACTGAGAAGTGGTCTCCTGAGTGACACCCCATCCAGAGGGAGAGTGCTGTGCTCACCCCAGCTCTGCAGCCACAAAACCCAGGAGCGGCAAGAAACGATAAATCAAGGCAACAACTGTGATGAAGTCCTCACTAAATTTCAGGATTAGATGAGCCAAAGAAGATAACGGCTATATAAATAACCAGAAATTGAAGGTGGCACAGACACTGGAAGGTGTCTTTTCTGCATGCCTTATCTACCTAATTGCTCCCAGTTAACAAGCATGGTTAAAATATAAAACTAATGCACGGTAAAGCTTTAAGGAAACCAGCAAATCAAAAGAAATCTACTCACAGATTCAGTTTCGCTAACTAGAAACTGGTGAAACTTTTCCAGTTGTGGAGACTTTCTCAAGATTTTTCGACTTAAATTTGTGTGCCAGGCAAGTTCTTCAGGATACCTGACCAAAAAGAAAGTAAAACACTTATGGATTATATACATTAAAGTGCTCCCTTAGTGACTTCCTTATACAGGTCACATACCAAATGAAACACCCAGTTTTGTCCTACTTGCTCACACCCACCGTCCCCTCAAGCACAGTCAGCCGACAGTGCGAGACGTCACTGGGACATACGGAGCACTGTTCTAACTGTATCACAGCCCACACAGACACAGGAAAGCTGGAGGCTTACAAGAGACATATGCATATGATATCATTACAAAATTTTAATGAGGAATGTTCAAGAACAGATGAAAAAGTGCAGACTCCTCTGCTCTTCGCTATGTATAGTAAATTAAGGATGGTATAGAGGTCACCAGAAAAAAAGACGTAAGATAACAAATACTTAAGTTTAAAGAAGTGCACACGATACACAATAAAATAATGCAGTAAGGCAGGTATCAGAATGTTGAACAAACATTTGATTATAATCTTTTTTATTATATCTTTCACTATTTCTAAAACAAACCAGTCCAATAATTTACTGAAATGTTTTACATATCAAGAAACCTTGGAAAGCACCAACGTGTTAATTTGACCTCCTAGGTTGTTATTTACAGATGTAAGAATGCAGCATCTCCTGCCGTTTCTGTGAATATATTTGAACTTTCTGTAAATGATGGATGTCAGTGATTAGGAAATGTGTTTTTAAACTTGGCTTGCACCCGTCCACTGATCTCCAAGTGCAAAAGTCAGTACACTGATATGACACACAGCCACGCTCAATTCACCCACTGCAAACGTAAACATAACATGGCCTTCCGTGATAAATCCCACTGCAGTTTTAGCATTTACGTTATTAAGTCCTAGGTGTAATAATGAGATTAACTTAACAATGCAAGGTCACAATGTTTCCACTCTCAAACTGCAGCTAAGGTGACAGCCATGAAAACCAGAATGTCTGGAAAACAATACATTTGACTGCTTGGAAACTGAGTGATCAATTGACAGAAACAAACTCAAGCCTTAAGATTTTAAGACACTGCTCAAATGTCATACTATGAAATACATTTGAAAAGTTCTTTCTACCAAATAACGAAGGTTAAACTGGCTGAACCTGCTCATGGCCACCCTCCAAAGGTCCCCAGTGCTTTCATTCTATTTCCTACACCTGGTTTCCTCTTCAGTATTTAACCTGTTACAAAAATATAAAAGCAAAATACAATCATACTTACCAGGCAACTAAAAAAATAAGAGTTTAGTTTTAAATACTCCTCATTAGAGGTGAAATGGTACAGATACACTCACATTTGGCTTTAGCTATAGTATTCTGCAAAATCTGCCATCCCACTGCAACTTTTGCAAGGCTGAATAGCCAAAAGTCGACTTTTACAAAATTTCTGACAACCCTGACCTGGCTGTGATGAACGACAGTATAATCATGTCAAGTTACTACCTTACCAATTCACCAAAACATCATTAACTGGAATGCTCCCTGTCATTAGTTTTTGTCAATGGGTGAATTTTTGTTTTCAAATACAGATCAGCAGTCTAGATATAACCTGAGTGAACATTTCTTCATGTGCCTTACAGGTTGAATTTCTAAGAGTTAAAATGTAAACTTACTGTAACAAGATTACAATTCTACTTCAAGTAACTATGATTGTGAAAGCTGTTAATCTTATGAAAAAACTATTTAAGAACTTTCAAACAGTTAAATACAAAAACAAACTGGCAGTTAAAATGAATAAAAAGTATGTTTCATATATACCTTTAGGAACGAAACATTTTTGAGTCAACAAACGTTTATTAAAATCTTTGTAGATTTTAACATCAAACAACGTAATCTCAAAGAACTATACTGAATGTTTAGTTACGTAATTCAAATTTAGCTCCAATCTTTGAAGTCCTATTTGGAAACTTTTCGTGTCTTTTGAGGATAACTTATAAGCACCACTGTCACCTTTACATCTCAATAATTCTTAAGGTACAATAAAATCTCTGTAAATACGTACAACATCTATGATAAATCACCTTCAATCCAGACATAAACAGAATGATGATAAGGTATGTTCTCAACAACGTATTGTCAAAAAAAGGCTTTTATAAGAACGCTTTAGGATAACTCCTTACAATTCTGAGTCTATGAAGAGTAAGGAAAAAAAAATGAAATCTACCTAAGGTATAAATCCTATACTTAATATTCCTTCTGGAAAACATGGTTCCCAAAAACACTTTGCTAAATTTTATCCCACTGTGTACCAAAAGGTTAAGAATAACATATGATCTCTTTTTGTTTTCTGAACAACACAGAAAACCACCAGATACCTTGGTTAAGTGTCTGCTTTACTTGCTTGCTGAGAGATTTATGGGTATCCCACACTTGCCAAGTGAGTTTGATTAAATAAATGTTTATACAGTAAAACCGTCAAGCAACTGTCACTGATAATGGAAAAAGCTGAGTATTAGGAACCCAAATCCTACAATATGTTCTTCACACCCTTCAGCTGTGTTCAGAAAATTAAAGCAAACAATAAGATGAAGAGAATGACTGGCTGTTATGAGACAGTGATTCACTTTCATTCTTCAACCACAGACAACCTTGGCTGAATACAATTTTAGCATCTGGCCATTCAGCATTCATTCAAAATGTGTGTGCTGCGCACATCCGTGATTTGGACACTGGAAATCCAAATGGCCAACAAAAAAAGAAAAGCAAGCAAATCCATGGCCCATGATTAATGAAAACCTGACCCTGGTTTGCCATTGCTAATGGGTATCTACAGAGGAAAGATAACTCATACACTTGAATAGTCAAAATCTCCAACAGTTGCCAGAAAATGCTGGTAAAATTCACCTTTTTATGGCAATCATTTAAAATAATTTCTTCTGTCTTGTAAGAACTCTCAATGTCTCAAAGTTGATAACCTGAAATGTGGAACTATAACAATTTACTTTAATATCTATAAATTAACCCAGGTCATGGCATTTCTATAGTTTGTGCTTGAGTCCTCCAGGCATTTCGCAAGACAGCCTATGCTGTCGACACAAGGCATCATCTTCAGACAACTGAGACTTGAACTGGGCCATGAGAAACAACCTACAGACCAGGTAAAGAAAGGGTTAGCACGGAGGGCTGCAGTGTGCTTGGGCGCTGGAGACAGTGGAAATACAGAATCAGCTGGGCAGCCTTGGAGAACTTCTGTCAGGTTAAGTCTGTCCTTTTTCTGAAGGTAGAGAAGCCACTCTGCATCAGTTCTGACGTGAGAACACAAGGGGTTTACATGGAAATGGTAAAAGTGGTAACATCACGGAAAGAAAGAGGCTGGATCAACTTGGAAAAATTAACTCAACTCAGTGATTCAAACATAAAGAGCTGCAAATCACACAGGAAAATTTGCACACCAATGTAAAGTAATATTGATAAAAAGCACTGGGTAAAGGCACATAAGGATGTCCGGGAAGTATATTCAGGTTCTTTCATGTTAACAACAAATCCATTACTAAGAAATACATTCAAGTGACAAAGATTAAAATCCCCAAGAAACATCCAACAGCATAAAGCCCTGTTGTACCTACCAACTCAGGGGCTGTGGAACTTCAACTTTCTGACCATCCACCTCCAGGTCCTCCAATTCCTTGAAATACTTGTTCTTTAAGCAATGGAGAATCTCTTTTGCGTGGCTATTAAAAAGTAAACACATTTCAAACTGATCTGAAAAGCTAATTTAATATATTTTATCTTCTCGTAAATTTAAGATTACAAAGGTTTTAAAACTAAAATCATCTTTGCATGGAGAGAAGACATTCCTTAATCACTGCCTTTTTATTCTATTCCTTCAAAATTTAAAGAATCTTCATTGTCTAATCACTAAAGGACAACTAAATGCAATCCTAGTACATTCCTTCCCTCCTAAATGTTCCTACAGTTCCATTTTTACTTGCAATCGATTTTGGAAAGATATAACCACAAAGATTTAAAAAGAGAAGAAGAGAGCCAAAAGTTTTAAGCAAATTCGGTAATGTCGCAAATTCTCACGCGTTCTAAAGGGCCAGCATCCTCAGCTCACGAATCCCCAGGAGTCAACCCTTTCTCAGGTTGCATTTTCGTTTCTTATTCTAGCCTCCCAACTCGAAATACCTCCTTAACCCATTCCACTGGACCCTTGTGCTCCGTCCTCAGTGCTTCCAGACTCTAGAATCCACACGGCTGATGTGCAGCGGTTCTGTAGCACTGCAACACTTCTTGGGGAAAACGTGCTCATTTTCAACCTTGGGCCCCCTAATAACTACTCTCAAGGAAATCCGGCAAGGCGCGCTACCTTTTATAACCAGTAATTCTCAACGTGGCCGGGAGGGGCTCCCGAAGCGCTCCCATGAACTGGTCCCACTCGCCCTCGGGCACGATCTTGAGCTCCTGGTAGTAGTGCTCGAAGAGTTTGTTCTCCTTGATGATCTCCGGGTACCCGCCTTCCCAGCCCTGCGGAACGAGAGGGACGTCTACCCAGGGCCCGAGGAGCCGCCCCCCGCCGCCCCGCTAGCCACGGGGTCGGTGAGGCCCACGCGAGGCCCCGGCGCGCCTTCGCCCCAGCTCCTACCGCCTCATTGCGCTTCCCGCCGCCCTCGGCGCCGTCCTCCGCGCCGCCGGCCCGCTGCTGCTGCT